TCCAGCGGCCAATAGGGCGTCTATGTATTTATTATGTCTATGGTTTATAAGGCACTGCATGGACTTGCTCCAGTCAGACTATCTTTTAAAAATGCTTACAGTTTATGAACCTGTAAGGACTCTCAGATCCTCGGATATTACACAGTAGAGCTAAAAGATTTGGTGATGCTGCTTTTAGCTCGTCTCCGGAATAACCTTCCAGAAGAAGTAAGACGTGCTGAAAAAGTCTAAATTAAAAACATATCTCTTTAGTCTGGCCTTCCTATAATATTTTACAATGTTTGTCATTTAATGTTGTTTCATCATTTTAATGAATCCTCATCCATTTTTTTTTTTATTCTTGTATTTGACCTGTATTTGTATTTTTTTTTTTTGTGTGTGTGTGTGTGTGTCTGTAAAGCACTTTAAACTGCATTGATTTGTTTGGAAAAGTGCTATATAAATAAAATTTGCTTGCTTGCTTTTAATGAAGCAGTTTTACTGCTTTTTGTTGTTGCTTTTATTCATTCATTAACAGAAAAAAAATCTTAAATTATCCATTTAAATATGTTTAGCCCATATAAATTGTATTTTTAGATAATATTTATTCATTTACCTTAGAGAAAAAACTAGATCTGCACCTGAAGACAAGAGGAGAATTACTAATCCTACTTTTAATGGAGCATTTTTACTACTTTTTTGCTTTTCTTTCTTTCTTATTTTAGGGTACCTACTATGCCCCTTTTTAGAAGATGTAATATAAGTATCCCCGTGTGTGTCTGTGAAGTTTCAGCTCAAAATATTTCACAGATCATTTTTGATTGGAAGGAAAAACATGATTTTTTCGTGCATGTTTTTAGTTGTAGTTTATTTGATTTTAATTATTTTAATTATTCGAAAATTAGAAACAAATAGCAAAAAAGTTAAAGAATATAAACGGAACAAGTGAAAACAAGATTATTTTTCAGACTCCATTGACAGATCTTCATTCTTGTTTTAGGCACAAACAAACTTCATTTTGATCAGTTTATCAGAAAACAAACTTAATATTAATGTCCTTTTGCATCTCAAATGTATCTTGATTTAAGAATGTTTATATATCTGTACTGGAAAACAAACATTTTGGATGGACAGGCGTTTTAATAATCACAGATATGTTCTGCACCAAAAGTTTCCTCTCAGAGTCACATGATGCGGCTTCCTGTTTAACCGATCTAAATCTAGATCTAGACATTTCTGAAGAAAAAAAAGATAAAGAAAAAATCGTGAGTGATGCTTTTCCTTCAGCAAAAGCCCCTTGTTACAGTAAACACAGTGCAGCACAACACAACCGCACGTGCGTAGACACACACACACACACACAAACAACACGCGGCTATAAAAACAACGAGATGATCTTTACACACAGACAGGAGGAAACCACACGTCTGAAGCGTCAGCGGATCCACACACACAGCACGACAGCAGGCGTTACACACACACTCCACATGACCTGCGGGAGTCTTCAGATTATCAAGAAAGTGTCTTAACCTTATTATCTGACAGATTGTGTCTGTATTAGGGGTGTAACAATATACCGTGTCACAATATATCGCAATACAAAAATTCAAGAATATGTATCGTGGATAGTTCACACAAAATAAAAATTACTATGAGAGAAAAAAAAAAAATCAAGTTTTAGTGTCAGTACTACATTAAACTACTATATAATGTTGAATATAAAGTATAATAAAGCAATGGGGGAATATGTGTGTGTCCTGATAATGCCAAATGTCACCAGTAAAAAGTGTCCGACATTATTTTAAATATATCTAGTCAGTGAAAGAGTTCAAGCATATTCATCTAAAATAATTCTATTTTCAGCTTCAGAATCATGAATATTGTTATTCTGGTGTCTCTATTGTTCATTGGGTTTCAGCACCAAGTCCAAGCCGATTCATTTACACACACAATGCAACACTAAATGTAGCATTTTAATCAACAGAACATTTTTTGTTAACCTTTTATCATGTCTCGGAGTATCGCAATGATATCGTATCGTGAGTTCAGTATCGTGATATGCATCGAATCGTGACATGAGGGGATCGTTACACACCTAGTCTGTATATGTAAGGGATAATGTGTGTGTGTGTGTGTGTGTTATCTCAGAATAAACCCCGACAGGGTGATCGGGATCAGGTCTTCATCCGCCTGAAGGGGTTTATTCTGATATAACACACACAAATTTATTTAAATAGAATCTTTTTAACATTATAAATGTCTTTACTGTCACTTTTAATGCATCTTTGGTGAGTTAAAGGATCACTTTCTTTTTTTATCTTTTAAATGCTTAAAATTAATTTAATGGTGGTTGAGGAGATTCCCCCTCTCTATGTAAAAGCACTTTGAGTGCCAAGAAAAGCGCTTTATAAATGTAATGAATTATTATTGTTATTAATATTCAACAATATTATTGATCTCCTGCATTGATCATTGAACTGAGCTGGACGATGACATCACGGTTTTCTCCAGAGCGGCTATATATATATATATAATAGTGCTGTCAAACGATAAAAATATTTAATCGCGATTAATCGCATTAATGTCATAGTTAACTCGCGATTAATCGCAATTAATCGCACATTTTTATCTATTCTAAATGTCTCTTGATTTCTTTTTGTCCCATTATTTTGTCTCATTTTAATGCTCTTATCAACGTGGAAAAGTGGATCGGCTTGCTTTGTGCAAATGTTTTTTATTGAAAACAACATTGGCATATACTGTGTTCAATCTCACACTAACATTCTCACTTGGAGCAAATAATCTCTCACACAATGTAACACTGTCCATCAATAAAAGGGTGAACGAAATACTGACGAGGTCCTGATTTTGATGAGGGGGCGGAGAATTCGCATCAGCTGTGTGTGTGTGTGTGTGTGTGTGTGTGTGCTTGGCCATCATCAAGTGGTGTTTCAGACTGGACGTGCTGCGATGATGATAGCTCAGTTCACAACCACAAAACACACAGATCACTTTGGTCTCGTCAATGGAACCATTTGGCAACTTTTTAAAAGTAAACTTTCCATTCAGAATCTTATTGGCATCCATTTCGGCGTCTCGCCAGGGGCGGACTTAACCATTAGGCAAAGGTCGGCAATTGCCTTGGGCCCCAAGCTACCTAGGGGCCCCCAAAATGCCCCATTAAATTATACTTAAGTTTTGTTGTTTTTTTACTTTTCGCAAATTATATATTTCTAAAAAACATTTGCGAAAAAAGGCATCAAATCATTAGTGTCGCAGACAGGAGGGGCCCCCCCACCTCACTACATTGGACTATTCCATTATCTCACTTTCTGCTTGCGAAAGTGACAAGGCTGTAATGCGCCAAAAAACTGACGGAGAAAAATAAGTGATTGACAGACAGTGTAGGCTACAGAGTGACAGACAGAGAAGCTACCCAAGCGGTGCTGAAAAAGCAGGAAGCGGGAGGAAAGCAAAACGTTTTTAGCAAAATTGCAGAAGGTAACAAACTTTTTTGTGATGTGCTAACGATATGTTACAAGTCCATGGCCGTAGCCAGCTATGAGGTGACCGAGGTCCGGAACTCTGTCATTTTATACATTCAAAATTAAAATGTCAAGCTCTCTGAATGATTAATTAGCCGTTTAAACCACCTCATATGAGTGTTTGCAATTCATGTTGCTGCGAGAAGCTAGCGCAGTGAACGGGGATTGAGAGCGCGTTGTGAGTGAGGGCGCGCGCGGGTGCCAGATCCAGTGTTGCCAGATCCACCTAATGGAAAGGTGGCACGTGGCAGTAGTCTTCTGGACCTGTTTGTCTGATTTAATGTGACACTTTAGGAAGTTATTAAAGTGGAAAGTTGCATGTTAGGGTTAATGATATATTAATCTTATTTCCAAAAGACAATAATCCGAATTATTTCGGATTATTATTTTTTTTCTTGTTTTTTTTGTAGCAATATCTGGCAACATTTTACTGTCGGCATTAATTAAAAAAAAGCTTATAGACAAACTTTAATTGCATAAAGCTACCACATTCGGTAAGACAAACGCAATGATCATCGTGATTATCTGTAAGAAATGTATAACACTATCAGAAACTATAGCATAATACAGATCTGTATGAATGAAATTTGCCAAATAACTTACTGGCCAGCAGGAAGACGGCTCATGCTGTTTAGTTAACCTTTCACAAAGTCATCATAAAAACATTAATTAAAGCAGTGTTTCTCAACTAGCAATCTATTCAGTCAGCATATGTGTGTTTGATCTGTGTGAATTATAGAAATATAAGACTTGCTAGACCTACTTTTTTTCTATATTTCTTTGCACAAAAAACCAGAAAGTGCCATTTAATGGTTTATTTAAAAAAAAAAATCAGAAAAAATATTTTTTTTTCGTTCTCTTTTAAAGATCGGATGGGGGGCCCCATACTACCTTCCCCTTGGGCCCCCAATTTGCTAAATCCGCCGTCATCCACTCAAAACGTAACGTTAACCTACTATTTGGCCGGCTCGCAAGCCCAAACAAGTGTGTGTGGCGTGCCTGTTGTTTTGTTTCCGGTCTAGCTAGATCCGCTTGCACTTTGGTTGATGAAGCAACAAAACGTCCTCGCGCGGCGCAAGCCATTGAAATGAATGGGTTTCATAGCGCAGCGCCGCGTCCTGTTGCAAAAGCATGTGAAAAAAACTACAAAGTTTGCTAGGCCAAAAAGACCGTTAATCGCGCGATAAAAATAATTAACGCCGTTAAAATGGGTTTGTGTTAACGCCGTTAATAATGCGTTTAACTGACAGCCCTAATATATAAATTAACTAAATTAATAACTTTTTACAACAGAAATGAATCATCACTGAAATTATATAAGCTGGACTGTGATGCCATTTTCTTCTAGAAACAAACTTTGTTGCATTGTTTTCCTGTTATCTCTGTAAAGCTGCCCTGAAACACTCTGTGTTGTAAAACGCGCTGTATAAATAAAGGAGACTTGACTCGAGAGTGTGTAAGAGTGTGTGAACTGACCGTCAGAAAAGATGAGCCGGCCGTTGCACTCTTCCTCATTACAGGAGCAGATGAACTCGTCCTCCGTCCCCTTCACTCGCTTCATCTCACAGGTTTTGCTGTTGAAGTCCTTCAGGAACTGGCCGTGAAACGCCAGCGCTGGGTTGTGACACACCGTCTCGATGGTCGCGTTCCCTTCGCCTCCCCTCCTGAAACACAACATCAGCACATTAGGACAATCATACTTTAGTATTAAAGGTGCTGTGTGGAACTTTTTCACTCTACTAAAGCATAAAAATACCGTTTGCATATATTGAGGAAACATGCTAAGTCCACATACTCGTTTCTCTAAGAAACACTTGTGCAGCCAGTTATTTTATTTTGAAATGTGTGTTTCCAGGCTGGAATGTTTGTTATTGTTTTGGTCTGTGATACTGCAATTTTCTCGTTCCTGTTGCGTGTCAAACTGGCAACCCGTGTGCGCGTCGAGTCTGAGGAGGCGGGGCGGGAGAAACGACGATCTCCGATATTTTGATTTGGACTGCAGTACCTATTTCGACCACTAGTTCTTTAACTTGTAGATTAGCTTTTATTTACCCATTTTGAGATGATACATGTGGATGATTGCCAAAAGTTTATCCGTTTGAAAATCCACCATGTCAGTCAAACATATAGACTATATGTTCAAGGGCTTGGGGTCTGATTGTTTGTGTGAAAGGCATTAATACTTTTATTCAGTAAAATCATTAAACCGATCAAAAGTGACAGTAAAACATTTTTAATGTCACAGAAGATTTATATTTCACGTAAATGCTGTTCTTTTGAACTTTCTATTCATCAATGAATCCTGAAAAATGAAATGCATGTTTCCACAAAATTATGAACTGTTTTCAACATTGATAATAATAACCATAAATATTTCGTGAGCATCAAATCAGCATATTAGAGTGATCTAGAGTTAATCTGTTAAACAGACATTAATACTCAATCTACCACTGGTTAATCTCTTAATCAGCCATTAATAATCAATCTACCACTGGTTAATCTGTTAATCAGCCATTAATAATCAATCCATCACTGGTTAATCTGTTAATCAGCCATTAATAATCAATCTACCACTGGTTAATCTGTTAATCAGCCATTAATAATCAATCTAAAACTGGTTAATTAATAATCAATCTACCACTGGTTAATCTGTTAACCAGACATTATTAATCAATCTACCACTGGTTAATCTCTTAATCTGCCATTAATAATCAATCTACCACTGGTTAATCTCTTAGTCAGCCATTAATAATCAATCAACCACTGGTTAATCTCTTAGTCAGCCATTAATAATCAATCCACCACTGGTTAATCTCTTAGTCAGCCATTAATAATCAATCAACCACTGGTTAATCTTTTAATCATCAGCCATTATAATAATCAATCTACCACTGGTTAATCTCTTAATCAGCCATTAATAATCAATCCATCACTGGTTAATCTGTTAATCAGCCATTAATAATCAATCTACCACTGGTTAATCTGTTAATCAGCCATTAATAATCAATCTAAAACTGGTTAATTAATAATCAATCTACCACTGGTTAATCTGTTAACCAGACATTATTAATCAATCTACCACTGGTTAATCTCTTAATCTGCCATTAATAATCAATCTACCACTGGTTAATCTCTTAATCTGCCATTAATAATCAATCCACCACTGGTTAATCTCTTAATCAGCCATTAATAATCAATCAACCACTGGTTAATCTTTTAATCATCAGCCATTATAATAATCAATCTACCACTGGTTAATCTCTTAATCAGCCATTAATAATCAATCAACCACTGGTTAATCTTTTAATCATCAGCCATTAATAATCAATCTACCACTGATTAATCTCTTAATCAGCCATTAATAATCAATCAACCACTGGTTAATCTTTTAATCATCGGCCATTAATAATCAATCTACCACTGGTTAATCTCTTAATCAGCCATTAATAATCAATCCATCACTGGTTAATCTCTTAATCAGCCATTAATAATCAATCTACAACTGGTTAATTAATAATCAATCTACCACTGGTTAATCTGTTAATCAGCCATTAATAATCAATCTACCACTGGTTAATCATTTAATCATCAGCCATTAATAATCAATCTACCATTGGTTAATCTCTTAATCAGCCATTAATAATCAATCTACAACTGGTTAATCTGTTAATCAGCCATTAATAATCAATCTACCACTGGTTAATCATTTAATCATCAGCCATTAATAATCAATCTACCATTGGTTAATCTCTTAATCAGCCATTAATAATCAATCTACAACTGGTTAATTAATAATCAATCTACCACTGGTTAATCTGTTAACCAGACATTAATAATCAATCTACCACTGGTTAATCTCTTAATCAGCCATTAATAATCAATCTACAACTGGTTAATT